ACCAAAGAACAAGTCATTGCACGGGAAAATCCAAGCCTCAAATTGGCCTAGCCAATCGAGGGCTAGGATGGCTAGCCAAGGCCATTGTCGCAAGCACATCATGCCTAGCATGGGCGAGCATGCCTTGTGCGCATCACAAGGCCAGCATGGCTGGCCGTGCTCTCTAGGCAAGCCAGCAACTATCCTCGTACTACCGCAAGGCTAGCATCAAGCAAATGCTCGGTGGGCCTCGCGTATGGTCGCTGAAGCTAGCTTGGTTCAGCTAGCGCAAGCAACCCAGCGGCAGCAACACCAGCTCGTATTGCGTGCTAGGCTTGCTGGTTGTGCGTGCGTGCTTGTGGGCTGGCTGGAAGGCCCAGCCGAGCACTAGGCTGCCAGTAAGGCATGCCTTGGTGCTTAAGGTTGGGCGCCAGCTGGCGCGTTGCGATTGGTGCCTTGAGGGAACTTGGTTTTGTGGGTTTCCTTGTGGTGCAAGGGAAGGTTGTCCCCCTACTTGTGGTCCTCACCTAACCCCTTGCTCTCCTCTTACCACTTATTGTTTGGTGATTCGTTTGGCATTTAATTTCATTTTAGAAATTAAATTAAGTTGTATTTTTCCTTTTACCAACTCTCCCACATTGATGGGAGATGGGATTTCCAGGGCTCCTTTCGTTATAAATACCAATCATTTGGCATTGGGAAAGAACACTTGAGTTGGTGAACTTGAAGGGATCTCCAAAGAGAGAAAACCTTTGTTCTAATACTCTAAGTAATTTTTGGTCTAGCCCCGACTAAGCTTCGGGGTAAGGGTCGGTTCAGTTCGGTAGCGAGGGTATTAGCCGTTGGAGGTTCGCGCATTTGCGGAACTCTACGCTTTCAAGTCCGAGCTTTAAGTTAGAGCGAAGCACGTCACAAGGGTAATGATTCTTTCTCTCTTTTCTTAATAATCATATGATTAAGGTTTTTATACATGCTAAGTTACTTTAATTTTTGTGCGGGTTTTAGGCGGGTTTCCTTCCGCGTGGTGTTGGACATCACAAAACCCAACAGCGGTATCAAAGCAGCGTGCATTTAATAATTGTAACTAATAATTAATAAAGGTGATTTAAATGGATTTAAATTTCTGGTTTTGCTTTCTAATTAGATTAGAAGCTCGTTTTTAATTAATTTAATCTCGTGTTTATGCTAATTTTGGCTAAAAACCCTGATTTTGACCCAAAACTAGTGAAATTTGGGTGGAATCGACGTTCTAATTTGTTTGTGTTTCACTATGTGGGTGCTCCAGAAGCCAAAATCCACCCAGAAATATGTTTTTCGAGGGGTTTTTTTCGTTTTTAACGAAATTTTTTAAATCTTTAAACCTTGATTAATTATGGCATGTTTATCTTAGATTATGTGTATGGTTACACCATTAATCTGCTGCAATAATAACCCTTATTTAGCATATTTATGAAGTCATATTTGGTGCTTAATTTGGTGAGTTCACTTTTCACATAAACTTGCAATTTAACATTTTTGCAAATTAATTGCTTATTTGGTTGGAACTTAACTTTCTAAATTCCATGTTGAACTAATTTTTGATATTAATCATTTTTAAGTTGTTTAAAGTCTTAAAAGTTCAAAACTTGTGATTGAAATTTGATTACTCTTCATATTGGAAGGATGTAATTTTTCAAGTTTACACAATTTAGTGTTGGAAAATTTTTCATTGGATGATTGTGTTTATTTTTCCATCTCCTTTTATTTTGTCAAATCTCATTATTAATTTATGTTTTGTTAAATTAATTGTGAGAATAGCCCTTAATTTTTGTAGCATCAAGTTGAGTCAACAATAATTTAAAGAATAATTCTTGAATTAATTTTTGTTTGTGCACTAAAAATTGAATTTATTTAAGTTGGACTTGTTTTATTTTCATTTTTACTCAATATTGGTTTTAAAAATTATTTAGAATTAATTTTATGTCACACAAAAAATTGGGATAAAATCCTGAGGCACAAGCATGCAAATCGAGGCACAAAGCCACGAGCACTACCCTCGGTCAGCTGGGCTGCTTGCACAGCCCACATGTGGCTGTTGAGGAGTGCGAGCTGCTTGTGCGTGTGGTGTGTGCGAGCAGCACCTGCGATGGTGCGCTGCTAGTGCGCTTGGTGCGGGAGGCTTGCGTGGGCTGCAATGTGCGGTTGCGGCCAGGACGAGCTCGCACAGCAGCAGGCCTTTAAGGCCCTCACTTGCGTCCATGCAAGCATGTTGGTGTGTCCAGAATAATGCACTTGGTGCGTTGTTGTTTGCCACATGAAGGTGCTTGGCGCAGCAAGTGGCTGTGCGGGGGCAGTAGCCACCCAAGGCAGTCGTGGCTCGGTGCCTAGCAAACTAAGCCTCGTTGCTTGGTGCAAGGAACTCGAGCATCATAGGTCTATGCGTTTTGCGATTTTTGACGTTTTTAATTATTTATTTAATTATTTTAATTAATACGAGGCCAAGCCTTTGTTTTTCCCGGCACTTGCAAAATAATTTTGGCTAAATTTGGGTAAATTGTCTTAATTAAATTAATTGGATTAATTTTAATTAAATTGGATGCGGAATTTAGTGGGAGCTTCATTAATTGTTTGAGCTAATTTTATTGCGTTTAATCACATAATCGGTTAACAACTTTGACTAGTTTTAATTAGGCGTGTTAATAGGATTAACCACCTAAATTAGTTACTAGTTGGAGCGTGTTTTTCTTTGTAAAATACATGGGTCATTCACGTTAGTGAATGGATTATTGGAATGAATATTCTATCATAGGTTTTACAAAATGGCAACTAATGGGGCCAGACTAGGGTAGTAAATACAGAGTGTGTTCCGATTTGTATTTTTATAAATCTAAATACGGACTGCGTGCCGTTAAGTATTTTTGTACTTAAATTATTTAGATTAGTTCTACCTTTTCTAGTAGTTGCATTACTGGTGGTGATGTCTCGAAGATAACGTTTCTAAGAAGACGAAGCCAAGAATATGCAACGAAGGCCCTTGAAGATTTGAAGACTCAAGTTTCAAGGGGTCATGTTAGTTGCCAAAATGCATTTTTATTTATGCCCTGTATAAATATTGCCTATATATATAAAATTGCGATGTTAGATGCATGTTTAGGATTTCGAATGTTGAACAATTAGTTTAGTTCACTTAAATTAACTAACATAGAAACCCTAAGTCCTAAAGAATATTGAGTTAAATTTGTCATTCCTAAACATGCATCTAACACGCCTAGGGAGGTAAGGTATGCCAAAGCAAGGCATTACTACTTTCCTAGGGAGGTAAGGTATGTTGGTACGCTTGCCACAACAAGGCATCATATACACGTTAGTTTTGGTTAAACTCAACGATATCAGTAAGGAGTCCTTAGACGTCGTGCGATGGAGATAAACGTCAAGAAAGCATTAGATGTGATGTTTTATTGAACTAAGAGTAGCTTAGAGCTATTAGTAATTAGATTACCTTAAAATATTAAGTTTTAAGACAAGCCAAAGCATGCTTAATCACTTTTTGATTTTTGGGATCTTGAAATCGTTTTATTCTCTCCTAGTTAGGACAAATTTTAAATATGTGGATAAAACGCTTAATAAGACTGAAAGTTTGCATGTATGCTTTAAATTTCAAAATTATTATGTTATTATCTTGATAAATGGTTATACTTTGCACTTATATTTGTAGTATCCTAAATCAAATAATAATGTTTCCAAATATTGGTAAAAGGAAATCTTTTGAGAATGGTTCTCAAGGAAAGAAAAGGCATTTCTAAAATACAACTTCACATAAATGACTTTTATGACTTAGTCCGAAAGGACGGTTGGACATCATGTATTCAAAATACTAGGTAGATTTAATAAACATGAAGTATTGAGTTGAACAACTCAAATTGTCAATAGATGACAACCAACATATCTTTTCGCTTCATACACTAATGAGTAGGACTCATTGATATAGTAATTCAAGTACGAATTAAAGGAAAAGATGGAACGTTGTTTTAGGGCGTATTAGATGCTCAATTATGCCTACCAAAGTGTAAAAAGTCAAAACACTTAAAGAAATGGTTCTTAAAAGTTACGAGATGATGTATGATAAGAAATATAGGAAACAAGGAATAAAGAAAAGGAATTTGAGATTCCAATTTAACCTAAGAGTTCACGTTATCGTAGTTAAACTTAGCAACTTATCTTAAAAAGTATAAGATACTGCTTGAGTGTTCCACTTTTGAAGTGACCTCCAAACAAATTAAGTTAAGCTAAGTTATTGACTTACAAGCTTGGAAGGAGCATTCATGATTAATTGCAGATACAACAGTATCAAAAATCAATTTCTCCTACATCTGCCTGGTCTATAATTGACTTTTTATATAAAATTAATCATTCGATGTAAATTTGGTTCTATAGATATGCTTTATGCTTGATGTTGTTGCGTTGTACTGTGTTAATTTGACAAGTAATATCATATATAGGCTCATTTAGAAAATGAGCAAATAGTTATTTGCTCAAATGTCAAATGAGCAAATTATTAGTTTCTCATTTGTCAAATGAGCAAATACTTAGTTGCCAATTTCACAAATGAGCATTGAGTTATTTGCTCATTTAACAAATTAGCATTCAATTATTTGCTCATTTCACAAAAGATCAAATAATTAGCATTTAATTATTTGCCAATTTCACAAATGAGCGTTGAGTTGTTTGGTCTACTTGCCTGTGCACAAGCCCCACCCCCTTCTTCTTGGTCTGTTTCCTCCACACCAACCACACTCCCTTCTTCCACTTCCCTACACAAACCTATCCCCCCTGCCCCCTCATCTTTCTGCTTGCAATTCTGATTTCAGTTCTAATTTTAGATTGTGAAATTATTGTGTGTGTGTGTGCATGTGAGAGAGAGAGAGAGAGTGTAAGAGTGTATGTATAAGTGTGTGTGTTTTCTTCTGGCAGTGTACATTCTTATTTAAGAATCTGATTTCAGTTCTAATTATTGAGAGTCTGTGTGTAAGTGTGTTTAAGGGGGTGCATATTCACTTGTTACTATTTTGTGGAATTGTTAATGACTTGTTATTTCTATTATGTTTAATGACAGTAATGATGAGGAACAATGAACAACTTGACAGTCATTCTAGTACCATCACAAATAAGCCAACTACTCCTAAAATAGTAGTTACTCCAACCAAACCAGTGCGAATTTGTATTTTACGCACCGGTTTGAACCGGTGTGAATTAAAAAAGAAAAAAAAAACAGAAAAGGCACCGGTTCACCGTAAATTATCTAAACCCTTTATACTCCCTCAGCCCTTCTATTTCTCATCCGCCTCTCTATTTCTTCTCTCCTCTCTAATCTCTCGTTCTTTTCTCCTTCTCTTTCATCTCTCGTTCTTCTTTCCTTCTCTCTAAGCTCTCGTTCTTCTCTCCTTCTCTCTAAGCTTTCGTTTTTCTCGTTGTTCTCTTATCTTCTTCCTCATTTTAGATTCCGTAGTTTAATTTTCAAAACCAAGCAAAACAATTTTTGCCGCCGCCGTTGATTATTCGAACATGCAAGCATCACCCGTCAAATTTGAGGTTAGGGTTTTAGGGCTCTTTAGGTTTTCGTTTTGGTTCAATTGATGTAATTTGTTGAATTTTTTGGGTATAATTGATGTAATTTGTTCGAAATTTCTAATTTTTGGGTTTTGGGGTTTAGTTGAAGAAATTTTTGGGTTCAGGGTTCTGGGATCTGGGTTATGAGATTTTAGGTTTAGTTGAAGAAATTTATGGGTTATGGGTTCTATGTTTGTTTTATTTCTTCTGGGTTTATCCGGGTTCCAAATTTTTAGGTTTTTAGTTTTATCTGGGTTCTAAATTTTTCTAAGTTCAAAATTGTTGAATTTTTCTTTGTTCGAAATTTTTGGGTTCTGGATTCCTGATTCATAATTTTTAAGTTTTTCTGAATTCGAAATTTTTGGGTTTTTTTTTGGGTTTCTCTGAGTTCAAACTTTTTGGATTTTTTCGAATTTGAAATTTTTAGGTTCTTATATTTCTATGTTCTAAATTTTTCTGGGAAAGTTTAAAATTTTTGAATTTTTATTTGTTCGAAATTTTTGGGTTCTTGATTTTGAGTTCAAAATTTCTAAGTTTTTCTAAATTCGAAATTTTTGGGTTTTTTAGGGTTTTTCAGGATTCAAACTTTCTGGATTTTTTCGATTTTGAAATATTTGATATTTGATTTGTCTTTGTTCTGTGGATTACAATTACTAGATCTTCTGGGTTTTATTAATTTTAGTGTTTTAATTGATGCAGGTTGTATATGATGATAATTTCATTAGATGCGAGTATGGTGATAATTTTTGCTAAAAACACGATTGCACATAAAAAAGGATTGAAGATGTATTTGGTGTTTCGTTGTTCATTGTTGCAGTATTTTTTATTTTTTTTATATATTGTAAAATAACAATTTATTTGGATGAATGTATAGTACGATTCTGGTGTTTTGTTGTTAATTATGTGTTGATTTGTAAGTGGAAAACTCCAAATTTTTGTTTTTATTTTAGTAAGGCATAATTTTTTTTATTGTTCGTTGTATCTTAATTCATAATTTTTTGTTGAGCATTTTTGGCACCAATTAATCGGTGCCAAAAACATTTTTTTTTTATATTTTTTGGGAACTCTTCGCACCGATTTTGAATTGAACCGGTGCAAAAAGTTAGTTTTCCGCACCGGTATTGAACCGCTACGAAAAGGTTTTCTTTTTAGCATCGCTCAATTCAACTGGTTCAAAACCGGTGCACAAGGGTGGTTTTAAACCGGTGCGAATTTACATTTTTCGCCTACTGGTAGCACCTTTGTTCACTCCTAGAGGAACAAAAGAATGGCTTTCATATATGCCACAATGAGTTGAAACCAGATATAAGGATGAAGTTTAATAATCTTGAAGAGGGCGTTGAATTTTATAAAAATTACGCATTTGCTGCTGGATTCAACACAAGAAAGTCTACAACTAAATGACAAAGAAGAAGAAAAGTATTGAAATCACAGTATATCTTATGCAATAAGGAAGGATACAAAAACAAAAGAAAGGCTACTGTTGAAAAAGATTCAAATAATAAGGAAGGAGAAAGCAATGAAGAAAAAGCTTCAATCAAAAGGAAGAGACTCGTTACTCGTGTTGAGTGCAAGGCACATATTGTCATAAAGCATTGTGATGATAACAAATTCATAGTGTCACAATTTCATGAGGGACATACTAGTTTTGGGGTTTTTGGAGTCCTTCAAGAGAGTTACAATTCTGGGAATGCGCGCCGACCGTCTGTACCTGCAAAAACCACGAAACTCCGGTTGGGTGGAGTTCTTCCTCCGACGATCAAGTTAGTACGTCTCCGGAAGTATAAAAGTGCGAAAGGTAAATGGATTTTTCTCTCTGATTCAGAGAGATTCCGCAATTAATATTGCTCGGTTTTTGTGTTTGTATTTTCAATCGATTTCTGAATGTGCAATAAATAAGGAGTTTCTTCTATTTATAGCAGATGAAGATCTACTTCCCCATTATGGTTACAATGCCACGTGTCAGCATCCGATTGGATCCCATAGGGCCTTTCAAGGGTTGCCACGTGTCAGCTTGCTATTGGGCCACGTGGCATAGGGTTTTTTACCCCAAACATTTGCCTCTCACAGGTGTGACATGGCTTGCCATGTGGCACCTATGACACGTGTCACATTCTGGGAAGGTGACAGTTCGTCTCCTTCCCTTCATTTTTTTTTAATGTTTTTTTTTCAATTCGAATTTCGAATTTGAATTGGAGGGGGAGGTGATGGTTCGCCTTGTGCCCCTTATTATAAATTGGAGACTCCCTCCTCATTTGTTACTTTGCTAATTTTCACAAAGAATTACTTGAGAGAAAAAAGCTCTGACACCGGCTGCTCTTTTGTGCAACCAGTTTCTTCCTTTCAGACGCATCCGAACACCTGTTGAGTGCTTCTTGGATCAACTCACTAAGGTACTGTCAGACTTAGTTAATTTCCTCTTCTTGATTTCAATAGAACCACAGCCGGTCTTACACCGTTTGGGGCATTCCATAGGCCCACAGCCGGTCTTATGCCGCCTGGGGCATCTTTGAGCAATTTTCTTCAAGAGTTACATTTAATAGACCCACGTCGGCTTATGCCGTCTGGGCCAATTTTGAGCAACTTTCTTCATAAATTGCGTGCCATAGGCCCACAGCTGGTCTTATACCACCTGTGGCATCTTTCAGCAATTTTCAAAAACTGCATTCTATAGACCCTCAGCCAGTCTTATATCGTTTTGGGTATCTTCAAGCAATATTCTTTAAAAACGCCTGACCAACATCCGCCTGCGGTATCTTTGAGTGATTTTCTTTGAATACGTCTGACTGTTTGATTTTTATTTCAGCTTCAAAAACATACACAACTGGACTCTTCTGCCTGTGGCATCTTCAAGCCACATTTTGGGAAAACGGTCCAGTCTTCTACAAACTTCAGGTACTCTTCAAAGAGGTACCGCCTGGGGTATCTACAAGCAACAACTCAAACATCCGTCTGCTATCAAGCTTTTTTACTACTTCAAGGTATCGTCTCTGCCCCTTGCAGCTTGTTTGAGCTTTTCTCGGCTGTATAGTTCGTGAGAGAATAATGGACTCACCCAATACACACACGGCACAGCCTAGGGCAGTTGTCAACCGTTCACCGAATACAGCTAAGTCTAGGACTGGGGATGCCGTTTGGGGGTGTTTAGACCACCCGTATTCTTCTACGAATCTGACCATCTATGTTCATGTGCAGTACAGAATGGCTCGGACAAGAAAAATGATTGTTGATCCCGAATACCAGTCCGATGATTTAGCCGGAACTCCGGTTGATAATGCTCCTTATGATCAACCGGGCGTACCTACCTAGCACGCCTTGAGATGAGATTCTTGAAGAGTCTAGAAGCTCAGATGGTGAAGAAACCGTCCAACAATTTGGCTCCACAGAATCGACAATGGAGCCGGATCCCCTCAAGAGGATGAGGAGGCATATCACTGGCCTTCAGCAAATAACCCAAAAGAGGCGCATATGAGCGCCCGGGATGTTGTGAATTTAAATGGGACCCTCCCGGTATTTTAAGAGAAGCGTCCGGTAGGGGCCGGATGAGAGGTAATTGTGCCGCCGGTTGATGCATCCGTCGTCTGGGATGATAACTTGGATCACGCTGACAATTACTTCGGCTGCTATGAGGCGGCATTCAAAGCCGGCCTCTAGTTCCCTCTCCATTCTAAAAGCCATTCTAAAAGGGTACGACCTTGGCGTCTGGGAGCTCACACCCAACTCTTAGGTGAACATTTTGGGGTACATAGCCGCCTGCGAGATGCAGGACGTGACGCCTAGCTAGGAGGCGTTTGCGCACATTGACCACGCTTCCGGAGTACATGATGACATTGGAGAAGCCATCTAAATGGAATAGCTGGAAGAGCAAATTCTATATGGTCTCATCTCCTTCTCCGGCTGTGAACCACCGGCTGCGCCGGTACAATAAGAACCCGACTCTATTGGGAAAGAAATGCGCCCTCCCAAGATACCGGGGAGGTCTTGGGATAAGATAATGGACCAGGGCCATTTTAAGAAGACAACCCTGCCACAGGATGATGGGACACAAGTTATTGTCCCTAAGTTCTAGGTCTCTCACCCGGACTGGTTCAAGGACGAGGCGTTCCTTTCCGCCTGTGATCTTAGCACCTTTTGGAACAAACTTAGGTTTATTACTTAACCGGCGTATTATGCCGCCTGTATGGTGTTTGAATGATCTCTAAATTTTTTTTTTATATTTGTAGAGAAAGGACTCGAGATGATGCTAAGTCAGCCGCTGAAATCAGAAAGGAGCAGCTCGAGAAAAAGAAAGCTCAACTGGCGGCCAAAGGCGATAGGGTAAGCACCGGTTGACCTTTTTACCACTTGTATGCCTTGCAACCCATCTTGATACCAACTGGTTGCTTGGTTTTCTTTTGCAGACGGGGAGGCAGAACGTCCCTCGATCTTTAAGGCAAATGCTGAAAAGGCCGGATGAGGCGCCTGCTCAACCATCCTATCAAAGGAGAAGGGTCCCGGGTGGCCCCGCACCTACCTCAACCGGAAGACCACCGGCTCCTGATAGACCCACAACCGCAAGCAAAAGTCTGCAAAGTCTGGGTTTGAGCTCAAGACCGGCTAAAGCCGGAGCTAGGGAGCTTAAGGTTCCCTCTAGCCGAGTGCTTGCTGTAGCATCCGACTCAAATGCGGCTAGGGGTGGTATCACCCCTCAGCCTGAAAACTAAGGTACAAATCTCACCTTAGACCCCCCCCGGCCGCGTGGGGCTGTTCGAGTCAACTCCCAAGCTTCTCAATCAGGGGATTCTTCAGGAAGCCGGCTGAATATATGCGCTGCTTATGCCCAACACTTAACAAATATATCTCATGATGCAGATGCCTCTTCTCGTTGGCTGTATATGAAAAATTATGCCAAGAGAATGCTGAGGACCCTCACCCGGTCCGAGAAGGAGGTGGTACCGGGTATCAACCAAGTCAACATTGATCGCATCAACTCACTGCTGACTGAGGTAATATACCAGTTGGGGTACTTTTGTGCAATTTTACTAATTGCGGGTTGTTATATAACTGAAAGACTAAATTCTTTTCCGGCCGACTCTACAGGTGATGTTAAGGGTTGACGGGATGAAAGCCCCCTTACGGAAGAAGCAAGAGGAGGTAAGGGATGCCCCGAGACGGGCAACCGAATTAATAGATGTCTGTCAATATAACTCCCTTATGCTTGAAATCCAAACTAAAGCCTGGGAGATGAAATAGGAGGAACTCATCCGGGAGCTCACGGCTGCTGCTGAGACAACCAACAAAAATGCTGCCAATTAGGAACTCTAAGTTGACCAACTCAAGGCTGACGTCAAGGCCTTGGGGGAGGCTAACAAGGAGAACACCGGTCTGAGGATTGAGGTAACCTGGCTGAAGGAAGAGCTGGTTAAGACCAAGAAGCAGCACTTGGACCAGCTGTCGGCTGAGCAGAACCGGTTGGTTACCGAGAACGAGCACGATTGCGAAGCGCGCATGAAGATGACATGGTCCATGATCCACCTGGACATCGACTATGCTTTCTTCGACTTGAGGTAATAATACGCTACCGAGGTATTTGACGCTCAAGTTCTCGGGACGGAGAAGCCAGCGCCCTTCAAAGAGTGGGCCGGCATCGAGGAGGAGCACGCGAAAGAGAATGTGCCGGGTGAGGCTAGAAAAGCCCAAACCCAGCAAACTCAAGAAGCCCCTCTTGCAAGTCAGGACCAACCGTCGGAACAACAACAACAGCAGCAGTA